TGAACAAGCTATCGATCGAATACAAAAGTCTTACGAACAAGTTCTATGAAGTAACATAAACATCAGAAAAGACACGAATCCGTTCCAATACGTTGCCTATTATATGTCTATAATAATTGCTGCTCATTTACAAGAGAGAGAATTTAGCCAACACTGTCAGTCAATGAGTAACAAAGCAGCAAGAAATTGTGAATAGATGACTGCCACGACCGACTTTCTATTAACCTCGGCATTGATCAAGTGATTTTCTTCGCATTTTTGTTGAGCAAACGCGAGGTGTTACTATTCTTTGTTCACGATTAAGCTGACGTTTCGGCGGATTTCGCCTTCTTCAGAGCCTGGAAAGGTCAAGTTGATAGCAAACCACTCGGCCAGACGCCTCCATAACCAAACAAAGAAACCCCAAACCAAGATTTCAATCAGTTTGAACACAGCTTTGCACACTCACCGCTTTCTATGAGGTTTCCACTAAGTATGTCACGTAGAGACCAACCGCACAGAAATCACGTGGAAGTATAATGTGCCCCTCACATCAGAAAAGCAGTTTTATATACTGCCCTATATCACGCGTGATGATGAGGCATTCTTTCCTGCGGTTCATTTTCGGATTTCTGGAATTAATCCAGAGTGCCTCGAGAGTTTTTCGCGCCTGTGTTCTTGATTCGCGTGCGAGGATCGTGACACATACTTCGAAGTCGTCCCCGTTATGTCTCTGGGTCCTATGCGTGCCTAGCGGGGTACTTGGTCTATTTTTGCCGGCTAGGTGTTCTTTCATGCGGACACAGAGGGGTCTACCCGTTTCGCCAATGTATTCGTCACCACACGTCTTACAGGAGATCAGATAAACTATACCCGAATCACCGTCTCTACCACTGAGGCAAATTATGCAATTTTGAGTTGCACATAGACGGTCATATAGGCGGTTACGAACTAGCTGGCGCTTAAGATTACTCGGTGGTATTTCAACTACGCTCACCGAATTCTCTAAGCCCGCCCTTCTTAAGCAGCGTTTTATAGCTGTACTTATACCATTTGAGATGAAGGGTAGGATAAACGGGACCCTTCTATCGCTAGAGTTGTCGTTTGGAGGCCTACGATTTCCTGTACACCTATTCTGAGCTACAGTTTCGTAGCCATTAGAAACGGCTATTTGCCGTGCCAAGTTCCGGGACTCCTCTTTCTGCTCTCTTCCCGTGCACACGTTGGTTGCTGTTCGAAACATGTTTCTTATAAGCGCCCTTTTCGATTGAGAGGGGTGAGAGGAGAGGTAATGAACCAAGATATTTTTACTACTTGGCTTTCGGTACCACTTTGTAATGTAGCCATTTTCTGATAGGTGAATTTGTAGGTTCAAAAATGGAAGCCATTTTTCTTTCGGCTTTTCTCGGGTGAACTTGATATACTCTGACTGTGCGTTTAACAATTCGAAGCATTTGTCCATTTCCTTTTGTGTTGAGCGAAGGACAAAGCAGTCGTCTACATACCTACAGTAGTGTAGCGGCCCGAGATCAGTCACCGGTGCTTCCACCTTAGACATAAATGCAATGGCAAGGCTTGGAGCCAGTCGTTGTCCCATTGCCAACCGTCTTATTTGAGCGTAGTACTTTCCAGACCATCTGAAGATTGAGCAGCCCAAGCATTCTTTTAAGAGTGCCATCAGGTGCTCTATCCTGAAGCCATACATGTTTATTTCTCCTTCGTGTTGTGTAAGGAGTTCGAATATGGCTTGCATTGCGGAGTCATTCGACACGTTTGTATAAAGGGCGGTAACGTCGAAGGACTCCATCACGCACGCGCTGTTGGGCTGCGCAGTACGTAGACGATCCAGATTGTGTATAGATGAATTAAATGCAATATAGATAAAAAAAACCAGTTTTCAGTGTTCGCGAATGAAAGCAGTCATCTGGACCCGCGTCGGTAGAGGTTCTGGCGAACAACTACTGGCTAAGACACTGCTTTCATAATGGCTATTGATTGATGCAGTAATAATCACAAATCTGATGACGTGATTTTCTAGGAGACATAAATCAACGGCATTGTGGCCGGTATAAACTCCGTGGTGGTCATAAACCTTCGATTGTTTATTTCGGCATAAAAGAATTCTTCCTACATTTTTGTCGAACACTGCCTTATCGAAAACTGGTGTATTCAATGTAGGGTTTTCGTCGGAGGAGGTTGTATTCTGCACAATGAAATATGCGAAAGACACTCCTACTAACCTATCCAGAAATGCCTGTTTCACAAACCTCTAGTGAAACCTGAAGAACAAAAACATGTCGTTTCGTTGTTTTTGCTTTAACTCTTCACTACAAGAAGGGTGCTTATGAGAAACACATCTCGAACAACCACTAGTGCATGATCTTGATGCAGCAAATAGCAACTGCTAATGGCTGCAAAGCGTTAGCTGCTCAAAACAGGTCTGGAAGAAGATCCACAATCTCAAACGAGTTGTCTAACAGATTAGACCTTCATTTATTCTGCTCTTTGCCACAACATAGTAAGCATAGCTATAAAACGATTCCTAGAAAAAGTTGGTTTGGAGGATTCAGTAGAAGTGAGTTAGCTACCACCAAACACTCGGTCATCTATACAGCACGAAAAAAATGACTTGCGGTAACGTTAGAGACAGTGATTTTGACGAAAAGGATGAATACGCCTTGTGCTAATGATACCGACTTCTTCAGGTTATATTGTCCAGAAAAAAATTATTATAACCGAAGAATCATATCAACAACGACTGGCCTGTGTAAAAGAGCATTTCCGAGTGCGGTTGCCTCACATCAGCACTGCTCCACTGAGGAAGGTTCAACTCGCTATGGCAACGAGCGACTGTGGTCCATCGAATTGAATGGTCTGGTGTGAGGAATAAGATGAGTTTGCAATTGTGATGCACTTTCAGTATCCGATATTAACACGCATACATGTCGCACAAAAAGAATAAACCACGCGGCTAACAAAATTCGCTTGCCTAATGGTAAAGATTTGATATCTAACGACCGAAATTATTTACTTATTCATTGACTCTGCAGAAGGGCTAATGAGCAACTAGACGGATAGAAATGGAGACGTTTGACGTTGATCAATTCCCGGAATTGTCATGGATTCGCCATGCATCCGACTGCAAACAGGGAAGTGGTAAATTATTTCATACTCGGCCTAAGTAATACCATGTAAAGTCTATCAATGGATTAAACGATTGCTTACAACTTTCTGTGCAAGTTTGTCAGCAATTAACCCAGAGCAGATGGTCAATAACTATCTGCATTTGCCTTCGACAACCAACGAACTCGTGTGTTTCGGAGGGCACCACTCTAACTACTTAGCTACATATTTGTCCTTAGTGATTTGAGCATAAGATTTCGGTCCTGAAAACGTGGACGTATGCTTCAGTGCTAATCGAAATATCTGCGGTTTCGATGACACTTTACACCATTTCTCGCTTTGCGTCCGGCGGCTGCAGCTGTTTCTCGAGTGGCTCAAGAAATTCACTGGTCAATGTTCCTGTATTGCAATTCATAACGATAGTAGTACGAAGTTTTATCACTTTCCATCATATCACTTCAGTTCATTGTTATATCTCAGACAATTTGCTATGTTTCCAAGCTTTTTTGCTAGAGTTTTCTCTCGACCTAATCATTCCTCTGAGACCAGTCGCTTAGTCAATCCATACATTTGCATTTTGTTTGAAAGAGTAGTGAGGAGATTGTGTAGTCTTCCATTCTCACTCTAAAATTTCTCTTGAGACTACTTTTTTTTTAAATAAATCTCGTCTACGCTTATCATAGACCATAAGATGAGTGCAGCGTGTTACTTAAGAATTTTGTCATTACAAGACTTCTAAAGGTTTAACGTTTCTCTTAGAGTGCATCGTAATGAGGATCTCTGTACAATTGATCAAATTCTCTGGAATATCCTATGAGATAACTCAAAAAACTTCTTCTGGAACATTCAGCGTGAATTAGTCACAGCACAAATGTAGAAGGACAATAACGCTGAGATCTGTGCAAAAGTCGGAATCCCACATGAACTTTGAGTCCCTTGCTCTCCCTCCCGAGACTCACGTGGTATTCACCACACCAAGCGAAATCTTTGCTTTGCCTTTCTCTCCGCCAGTATTTTCTTTTACCCTAAAGGTTCCATCAGCAATCGTCTATCAACCGAAACGATCTGCGAAGCACTAATCGGAACTGAACCAAGTTAACCCATTTAAGCTGATGTTGCTGTCGAAATCACAATGTCTTAGCCTTTATTCGTTGCCTAATCTTTTTTCATGGCTTGCTACATGTTACTCTGGAAAAGGTAATCACGAGTTCAAAGTCTAACTGAGGTTTCAAGTTTGCACACTTCTCTGCAAATTTATGGTTGTCTTTCGCATAATATGTAAAAAAGAATGGAAAGAAAACAGAGTTTAAACATCATAAACATCATAGAAGGTTACCTCACTGAGATTTCACAACGTTTACAATTTGACACACTATTCTTTCGCTGAATTGCGGGAAAACTCCCTCTAAAATCGGTTTCGTCCCAGGTTTCGTTAAGTGTTGGATGTTCTATGATATCAATTACTATATTATTATCCACTTTAAATGTCCAGTTTTTGCATTTATTTTGCGGATTCCAGAAATTCTTGCATTCATGTCGTTTTCTTGCTTCCACAATCCAAAGAGGTCGTCGACCTTTTCTATGCCTGGGATCGGTTTGCTGTTAGAATATCATCCTGGTGTAGCCAGGTTTCGCACATAGCTTAGAGAGAGTGAGATCAGCCAACCAAATCTCTTAGCAATTTCCCGAAATCGGATTATTGGGAAACTTTGTAATCCTAATGCGCGATTAAATCAGCGCCGTGATGGTGATGAGCGGTATCAATACCACTGCTCTATCCACCCTAAAATATGCATGTATAATTCCGCGTGATAAATATCAAAATTCTTAATCGATTCGAATTTGTTGTATAATTCATAAAAGTTTTTATTCTTTAGGTACTATTTGCGGTAAAAAATATGTGTGATTATAACGCTTGGGATATGTTTGGCGAGCCACCCGAGAGCTCGACAGTACCGCGCTCAGCCCAAAGTGACTCGCAGGTGGATTAATAATCTGGAGGTCGAAATACTTTCTATGAAATAGCCTAGAAAACACATTACTATTTTCGTATAAGAAATTTTGGAATAATGACTCAGGTTTCAGTGATGTTTTAAATAGTTTTTATACAGTACCTTCTATATTCCCTGATTAAATACACAAACTTACTTCTCATCAATTATTCTTCATTCTAAAAGATTTTTCATCTTTTGGGAGTAAAACACAAAGTTCCCACTCTCTTTGTTTTAAAACTGCAAAATTTTATGAAAATTCCACAATTTAAATAAGAAGTTCTTTATTTGCAGTTGGTCAAAATCCACGATTCTGAGCTGCAAGCACTCGGCCTGGATAAGGAGAAAATCGCTGAAGAGGCTGAACGACAACGAGCCGATCGAATGAGGCGGAGCAAGTAAGAAGAATGTGAAAACTTCTGAAAAGTCTGAGTTACTTTTAAATTCCCAGTTTGTACCAGATGTAGCAAAAGCCGCCCTAAAAGCACAAAGATCCGGAAAATGTTCATTTCATCAATGTAACCAAGCGACTTAATAAAAAAAAGACGAGCGTTTTGAAACTGCTTTTAAAAAACGAGGCCGAAAATGGTAGGAAAAGATGACTCGTAGAAACGAAACTAGTTCTGGTTTTATTTAGTGCAAATTGCACTTCAGATCTCCCGTTCTCGAAACCATACGAAAGGCATCGATCCATGTGCTGCAAAAATTCGGCGCTCTGCCTAAGAAAAAGGACAATGCGTTGCTTCTTTATAAAGAGCGTGAAGTGGAAACAGTGCCCTTGATGGAATTCTGTGTGAGGTTCGTGAGAGTTGTTTTCTCTCGTCTGGTGGAACGCGGAGACCAACGTCCGGACACTATAGTTTTTGCTTTTTAAATATCAGCGAAGGAATTTTCCTCGCTGCCGAAAGCACTGGCTAACTAACCGTTTATCAATGTGAACTATTATGTAGAAGTGAACGCGTGATTTAATTGTTTTAACAGCATTTCCTGCCACTCTTGTCTGTTGTCTCACCTTTGAAGCCAACCTTCCTAATCTCTGAGACAGGTAGGGGGTACATGGCTGTTCCAATGTTTCGAAAACGTAAACCACAAACATACCACAAACTGGTCAAATATATCTAAAAAACCGTACACGCGTCATGGATAAGAATTGGTGCAGAACATTAGTTCTAAAAATTTAAACACCGATATAAAGAAAACTACTGCTGGAAAGGTTGTTTCACAGTACATTTATGTTCCAGTTTTCCAGACCTCGAGAGTTTTTCCAAGAGCCAAAGCCGTTTTCTTTTCGCGATCTTGGGAAATCAATGGTTCAAAGTTCGACGACAAAGCCGGAAAAATGGTTGTTAATTTAAAAATTTCTTAAGATCTTGTTATATGCATACGTTGTGTATTTCAAAACATCCATTGCAATTCGCAAAGTAGCAGATATTTAGCGCGTACTTATTTCGAGGAGCCTCGTACGATCAGCTCGAAGATAATGCAGCCTCAGAGGTTTGTGAGTTTTTTCTCGAAGCAATAAAGTAATATTATCAGAGCTCGAAGGAATTCCCTCGTTTATAGGCTGTCCCAGTCGGGTATGCGAGGCTTGATCGATTTTTTTAAAATTATCCTAAAAGTTGTCCGCAAATCAATGGGCATTCTAACACAAATTTCTGAGGTAAAAACTCCTACGTCGAATTAAAATTTTGTTGATAGAAACAAAGAATATTGGGATCTACACATTTTCGTCAATGAAAAACAAGCTTGTACATTCTATTTGAATGAAACTCTAAAGTTATGGAAACGAAGAAGTCGATGGAAATGTCGGCCTTGGTTTGATTTTTGAAGCACTCCACATACAGGAAGTTCCCGAAATGAACGGATAAGTCGTAGTCGGTGTGCGATAAGCCTGGCAAACATGGTGCATGAGGCGGACTTTCCTAGCTCATTTCGTTCAACCTTTTCACGTTTACTGGCGCTACGTGTGGGGAAGCGTTATCGTAGAGACAGATTTGTACCTTTATGTAGGCCAATGAGTGACTCAGCCGTTTAACATTCTGGTACAGTTCACCGGTTTGCTGGACGTGAATCGCCGCCGTAATTGCTTCTTCCAAATGCAGAAAACTGTGATCAATCAAACTAGGGTTCGAACACAGAACAATCAACACCGAATGCTTTCGGTGCAATTTCGGGTTTGGGAAGCGCTGTGGAACCTCGTCAAAGACAACCATTGAGCCCGTCGTCGTCTATTGTTTTACAGAATCCATCTGATTCCGCACGTCGCCATACGGTCAAGAACAGGATCGTTCTGGTTGCGCAGAAGAGGCGTAGATGTAATTTAATCCACGCAGCAACCATATGTCAAACTTCTCCGACTTTTCAACTTTTTAATAATTTTAGATGCTTCGAATCAGCTGAGATGCTTATACGGAGTTTTTTCAAGTGTTTTTGAACTACTGATTATATATTTGAGCCGAAAAGCCTACACTTCTAGGCCGATTTCGCTAATACGAGATTCCTATAACCGACGTCGCATTTCGCACTCGCTAATCCTTCTTTGGCTCCATATCTCGCCGCCAATGTCTTGAGCAATTCACTTTACCAGTTCGATTCCGTAGTAGTAGATTTTTCGAAATTACTATGCTGGCATGTGAAATTCTAACTTTTAAAAACTCGTTACAAATTTAGTCCATATTGAAATTCATTTTCAGTGTAAAAGTTTATGAATGCATGAAGAAGCCTTATGAAATAAGCTTTAAAGTTATGTAGAGCATAGGATTTGATTGACGGATCTTACTCATGGAGTGGGCTCATGCCGGCTAGTTGCAGGGTTACGTGGCGTGTCTCCAGATGGCGCATAGGGGGTCAATCGCGGACCAAAAGCGACATTTGTTTTCCTGAGACGCATATGGATCCAGGAGTGGACTCCTTGTTTTTTTGCTCCGATTTGGCACTTGCTTCCTGTGCCTACGAAGACGTATTCATGCATGTGTGCGTGGCTGTGTTGTCATCTGTGCGGATTGTATTCTACGAGTCAATTCGGCCAAAAACCTGCAATCAAGTAATAGGGCTGTATACGGGAGGCGTTTAGTAGTCGCCTCCAACAAATGAACTCCTCGTCTACTCTGGAAGAAACTGGTAAGCCATAGTGGGTATACCCAGCTCCCATGTCCAGAGCTCAAAAAACAATTCATGGGCATATGATATGTTAAACGCAGTGAAACAAGTGAGTTTCATTCCTCTGAAGCCGAGGAGAGCCGCAATCCAGTAGAGTTCGGCAGAACGAGTAAGACAAAGCGGGTAAAAACCTAGAGCTATACTAGGCTCCTTAAGTCGTAAAGGACCATAATGACGGTCTGCAGCTACAATGCACGCACATTTGCATCTGAGCCCTCAATGGAGGACTTGGTCATGCAGAAAAGAAGGATGAAGGTGTGACATCATCGGGCTGACTGAGGCGACAAGACGTCACCCAATCAAGGCGAGCAAGAACATCCATTCATTCGAACAACTAATAACCCGAATCGGGTGTTTATGGTTACAGAAATGTGGATCAACACCGGCAATGACAATGTTCGTCGTTTACGGACTGACATCAAGCCATGACGAAGACGAAGTCGATGCATTCTGTATGGACTTGGAGAAGTTCTACAGAGAAGACCATACATACATTCTTCAAGTTCATCACTGTACCACTAAGGCTGGACCAAGAAGAACGTCACATTGGGACCCACGGATTAGAATGGAACGAGCAGATTGAGTAGTTACGTGGGCATAACGACGAAGACCATTAATAGTAATTCGCAATTCCAGAAGCCCCACTCTGGAGATCTGGACGTGAGAGCCTCTCATTCGAGAGTGCCATAACGAACTAAACAGCATCATATTAAATTGGGAGACTGGCCTAATCAATGTCGCTATTTTCCCTTAATTCGACAATTGATCAGACCTCTTTCGTGCAAGGTTTCATTTTTCGTAGAAAGTGGAAGAAGCCGCTTGATTCAAAACAAAGACCCATTTCACCATGAACTAAAACTTATTAAGTTTTTTAGTCCGATGTTTGGTAGGTTTCACTCGTCTACAGAAATGGGATCGGCTCATTCAATGTCTTCATGGGCCATGAAATCTGAAGGTTCAAAAGTCACTGAGAGACGTCTGCCTCCAGAAACACTCGTTCTGATACGACAGCGTGCAATCGCATGAGCTGTAGACAACTACCATCTCACGTTCAAACATGCGAAACAGTGCGTTTGATAAGCCCATCTAAGCTGTGCCGATTGCAAAACCATTCCACTCCGACTCCGAGACAGAACAGTTGCAGCTTCTAGAAAGGTAATGGAGATAATCATTCACGATTACTACTGCGACCTCTTCAGAAGCCTCGTTTTTTCGCCGTCAAACAAAATGAAGTAGGATTGATATATCATTTCACCGGTTAGCCATTCCGAAATACGACATGCTATTTCGTTGGTTGAAAATAGAACAACACCAAGTCTGGACTAGATAAGATCTAAAATACTTGGAGAACCTTTCACCAGTCCTCATCATTTCACCGACTTGGGTCTTTACACATTACTTGTCAGTTTTCAAACTTCCAATTCAATGGAAGACCAGCAAGATTGTGTTGCTCATGGAAAAGATTAACCTCCACGATATCGGCAACTACCGCATAATATGCATGCTGTCTGTCGTCTATAAGGTTTTCACTCGGATCATCGTGGCAAGGATTGACAGAACAGTGGATGAAGGACACCCAAGTGAGCAAATAGTATTTCGTAAAGGATATATATATATATATATATATATATATATATATATATATGTTTATCGAACTGCTCTTTTCGAGCTGATGAAAGATTGGTAGATTGGTAGATTGGCTGACGTTTCGGTGGCTTTGCCTTCTTCAGAACTTAAGCGTTTTTAATGTAACGATAGCCTTATAATTTCGCGAAATGTCTATAGTACTGATGAGGAGCTAACATGTAAAGAAACGCCACTTTATTTGAATTATTTCACTTTATTCATTCTATTTTAATGTATTCTTCCCCAGTGAATTTTTCGTTATTCATGCCTCAACCGAGCATGCTCTGAAAAGCAGTATAGAAACAATACAGAAACTTAATAAAGAGTGAGTCTATGCGGCAACGGCAAACTGGTTTACAAATTTTAGTTATTTCTCGGCTAAAGAACAACTATCCAGGTGGTCCTGTCTTGTACTTGCTTATTAAGACACACAAGCTAACTTCTAATGATAATCTTACGTCCACTGAACCGTCCTCATTTAAGCATAGACCTGTCATCAGTTGCATAGGTGGGCTAAAACACGCAATAAAATGGTTGATAAACCTTACCCTAACCCACTTGCTATAATTCACACCAATTTATTTCCCTATACTAAATTATTCCTAGACTATTGATGGTGCACGCAACCAAACAGCGCACATGTAATGGAATTATTCAATGTTACTTAATTTTATTCTACTGTCTCAAATGATTCCTCAATGCCGGCCATTTCGACCTACTCGTAGAAAATGAAAAAGTAAAAAAAAAGTGAATGCGTATGGCTTGTTGATTCGACAACTAATGACTCTTTTAAAACAGTGTCTTATCTCTCTATATTCCTGTTGAGCAAACACGAAACGTTACTTTATTCCTTATTCCAGCAAAGTTGGCGTTTAGGTAGTATCGCCTTCTTCAGAGCTAAGTGTCTAGGTCTAAAGGTGATCCCCAAATATTCTCTTGCGAAGGTAATCCTCCAATTACAAAGCACTGAAATGTTTCTTCATGGCACACTTTTTCATTATGGCGAACACTTCGTTCTGCTGCCAGAGGATTGCGATCAAGTACGAGGCATCGAAATGTAACTACTTTGGGCTCCACTCCGGGCAAACAGAACGAAATGTTGTTCATCAAAAAAAACTGTATGATAAAGGAACACTTTTTGTTTTGTATTTGGATGATCATTATTGGACGAAATTACTCGGCTCTGAGAAAGGCGATACTGGCGGTACATTAGTTTTACAGGAATGAAGAATAAAGTAGCACCTCGCGTTTGCTCAACAAGGTTATCGAGAATTATTTGATCAATCAATAGAAAGTGGATAGTGAGAATTACTACAGAAAGTGTCGTATTTGTTAAAACTTAAGGTGGTCGGGAAGATATTTTGCACAAATTAGTGGCTCGCTCATTAGCCAGCGATTAGCAAAGGCCTTGCCATGGCTAAGGTAAGGTGGAAGCTCCAGTTCTAGATTGTCGACCGTTACTCTACTGTCGATACATAGGAGACTTCTTCATCGTCTGTTTCACAGAAGAACAGATGGGCGACTGCCGACTGCTTTGAATAGATAAACGGACGGTCGGAGTATTCAAGATTTACTCTAGAAAAACCAACCGAGGACTGGTTTCCATTCTTAAACACCGAAATAAAGCTTTCAGGATGTGGCTAATTAACAAAATAGTATCGAAAACCAAGCAGTAAAAATATGCTTGTGCAATACCACTCCTCTCATCCTTTGCACAATAACATAATAAAAAAGCGCCCATCAAAAACATGTACCGAACTGCTAAAAATGTTTACACAGGAGAATAGGAAAGGAAAGAACCCCTGAACTAGACGCGAAAACTAGTCATTCCCAATGGTTACGAAGCGAACGCCGCGCTAAAAATTCGACTCTAGGTGTACATGGTACTCAAAAAAACAATGGAGATTGTTTTGAGGTGACTGTCCACATTCTAGCGCAGGAATCAAAAACATCAACGCGCGAGATTCTTGAGGCGTTTTAAATAAGTTTCAAAGGTCCAAAGATAAACCTGAGAAACGAATGCTTCACTACTACACGTGAGATGGCGGCTTATTTCGAGGTGACTTTTTGATCTGGGTGGGTGTCACTCGTCGTGGTTTCCATACTTAACAAAGCTGTGAGCAGTTTCTAAATAAAATGACGTTCATCTGCATGCTAGATCTTCACTAATAGTATAAATGGTGTTTTATTTTTTACTTTCTACCTACTGCAATTTTTAAGGCAGAGTATTAAATGAAATGCATCCACAACGTTGCTGAGATATTTGCAAAACTCTGGACCGCAGGTGTCTGCGGTAAGGAACGAACATGCTATCACCCTTTGCGGGGTTCAGCAACTCTGATCGCTGCCAACATGTAGAATTCAAAGAAACCGCTCCATACCTCAATCTGTCGAAGATAAAGTGGACGGGACAACATAATGGGTATGAAGGAAAACTGATGGACATGAGACCTTAGTGCCTGAATTGCTCGGGATGTCAAACGCGAAGCAGGAAGACGAATGGTCAGAGTTTTTCATGAAAAGCATTGAAGAAAGGTATGGTACTCAACGAGTGCCTAGAGAGAGGAGAAACCACTCAATTTGCCAAAAAACTAATATTTGTTATACGTGAACTCAACTGAGGTACAAATGATATCTACTCTACGGCATAGAAAATCTTTCTTCAAAATGATAGCTAAAGTGGTGAATTATGTTAGTTTTCACTTTGAGGCAATGAGAAGAAAAATCTTAAAGGCAAATAGAAATTTCTATTGTCTAAAGACATCTAGAATCAACTCCGTTGAGGTCGGAAGCACTCGTTTTTTTTTTTGATAAGCGGATTCAATGCCGATTTGTGCTTCCCACGTCATTACTGCTGACAGCTTGGTGCTGATAGCACCGATAGAGCAAAAAATGGTTGATAGAAAGGCAAACCAAGAGCTTTCGTTGGTCTGGGATGGATAAATGTGAAACCTTGGGAGAGGCAATCACGAAGCTGAAGACCTACTGACGTTTTTGATCGTGCTCGTAATACGACATCGTTATGGCTGCATTTCACATCCATTCAACTTTAACAAGCAGATTTTGATTCTCTAAGTTCCTCGTTCTTGGTTTTATTAAAAAATCTACATAAACCCTTAAAGCACAAAAAATCTGTCAGTTGGGATGCCAAAGTTTGAAAACTAAAAGCTTAAGCGGTCCACTTAAGCTAGTGACAGACTTTCAAGCTCATGGCAACTTTTGTTGGCAATTAATTGTTAGCGGTCACTAGAATTTTTCTTAAGTGAATAAAAACGCTCTTTACGTTGTCAAATTACCTCCATAAAATTTCCCAGTCTGACAAGGCGTCATAATATTTTTTAGAAGAAGCGCACTATGAGCTCAGTTTCTCAATACCCTCTCTCAATTCAGGTTGCTCGTCTGCCAGAATACGATCCGTTTTGCCCAGTTCACGGCAGCCGTCGTAGAATTGCACGACGTCAGCATCTCGTCAGCATGCAGCACATCATGAGCAGCATGGACCACGATGATGCTCCAGAAGATGTCGGATATCTATACAAGTCAGCCTTCATCTAGTATATCTAAGAACCCATATTTAATCGTTACTCTTTGAAATCGCCAACATTTCTGCTGCCATTGAATGCCACCGGAATTTAGAAAACAGATCAAATCAAATGTGCCCACTATGTTATTACCTTCATATTCGATAAGATTAAGATTCAATAAGCTGAGACTCGATAAGATTTTCGCGAAAAGTACCGTACTATTTCAAAACGTCGTCATACTGCTACGGCAATATATAGGAAAAAGCGAAAAATTTTAAGAAGGCCAATCATAAAACTTAATTGCATTGCCATTCTTAGATCCTTGTGGATTTTTTCATTTCGTAATGGCGTGAACAAAATTGCTATTATCGAAGGACCTGCATGATAGTGAACGCATTGGCCCCCTGATAGGGTAATAACGCATTCATTTCTCACCGCAGCCACCTGTGGTCCGAAGTGTTGCAAATAACTCAGCATCATTACGGTTGTATTTCACATAGTACCCTGCCGAGAAAAATTGTAATAGGCAACAAATTAAAGGAAATTAGAGGTTAAATTTGCTGCTTTCTGAAACTTTTTCACACCCTGTTTTGCCTTAATAGAAGAAAATCCTAGGCACTAAGTATAGTACGGACTATTTCTTCCACATGTATAACTATTTAAGATTGAGAGGTTCATATTCAGCTATGATTTTTTGGCAAAAATTATTCGAAAGAAGAAACGTGAACAGCTGAGTGGCAGCGAAAAATTGAAGGTCGGCAAGGTGATTCAGAAGATCAAGGTTTGTCTATTTTTGTAACGAAAGCTTTCAAATCTTCTCTCCTCTACTACACTGCCCCCAATCTTGCCACCACATCCGAATGCTGTCCTATATTAGATCAGGCACGTATTAAAAAGATATAAGCAAGTTCGCTTTTATTGAGGATTAAGTGTTTAGTTAAAAGCAATGGTTTTCTCTCAAAATCGTTTTGTATGCTCTGAGTAATTCGAAAGCCCGACGTGTTATCAGTCCAACGAGCCTTTTGTAAACCAAGCAACAAAGAATGAACTCGCTAAAAAATTTGCTTTAATGCCTATTAATGATTATATCTTGTTTTTAACTAGCTTTCCTAAGAAATATATCTAGGTGGTTTCGTAATCTTCATGATAGGACTTCCTACAGATGGAAAATTATCCCATTAACTGCCTTCTAAATCTACCATCGACGTTTAGGCCAATCTTCTCGTCATATCGGTGGCATTTCTATTTCTATTCTCGGCGTTTAACGGTCTTTCAAATCTGCAAACATCTGTTAACCATGAGCTTGGAGCGGACAGTTTAGCGTAAGTGTTATGATGAAACTTCTTTTCGGAGCACTATACAATTTTAGAAGTTATTTCTATCATAAGCAAAAGTTTTCACCCTCTACAAGCTATCCCATTCTACTATTTTTAAATAAATAATTTACTCTGCATTGTATCTATATGTTCAGATCAATAGGCATTGTGCACAATGCATACGTGCAGACAAGGTAAGCGAAACGCACTACACACAATGCACTGCACTTTCAGAGATTTATTTCGGTCAAAAAAGTCTTCAATCGATAGCTTGTCTGATAAAGATGTTATATCAGTAGCGGATCATGGAAAACTGCACTCTACATTCAATAACTTGCAACAAACTCCTTCTCGGACAAGTTCATTTCACGGCGAGAGATAAGCGCTGTTGAGGCGAGTAGGAATCACCGAAACCCCTTCGGGAGAAGAGTGCACAGAAATTCCTCCGCGAAAGCACTGTTATTTAATGCTTAGAGAAAGCTTTTCACTATGTATTCTTTTTTTGATGAGCTTACATGAGGTTGATAATGATGTTTATTTTCGGCTAACGTTTCGACGTCTTCGTCTTTCTCAGAGCAGATGATCCGAGTAGATGGTCCTCGCTTGTTATTCGCCTCGACGTGGCAGCTTCGCCTTCGTGTCGAGTTAGGTCTTCTTCAGTGAGCCATCTCCTCGAATGAGGCATCCTTACTCAGTGATGCCCTTTTATACACGATGCTGATGGTCGAAATAATGATAATGTCCGGTGATAACAACTTGTTTTTCTTCCGGACATACATCATTGAGCACATCGTGCAGAAGTCGGTGTTGTTATCAGCTAGCACAAAGGAAGAAGAAGACGAAGAAGAAGCTAGCTGAGGAAGACGAAGACGTCGAAACGTTAGCCGAAAATAAACATCATTATCAACCTCATGTAAGATCATCAAAGAAAGAATACATATTGATTAGTGAAACCGAGGTTCAGGGAAAGTCGGTTTCGAAATATTACTACGCTTTTCACTATGTTGAAGAATAAATCATTGAGGAGACTTCTTCTTAGTGGCTAGGTGTTCGCAAAGTGCTCGTTAACAAGTGCACTCCAACTAAGAATGTTTTCTGAAGCAATTATCATGCCTTACTACTACAACATTTTACTGATGTCCTAAGCGCCACGCTCAACAAAGAATTTTTCAAATTACACTTTCTACTTGGTACACGTAATTGACAGATCTTGCGTAGAATTAACACTATTCGTTTAATAGTCCTTACACACAATACTTCGTTTGGAACTTTTTTTTTCGAACGAACTTCTCCAAGTTGTATTCATAGTGGTGAAACAAATGTTTTCTACAAAAGCACCATCTTACGTAGCATCTTTATCTCGAGCACACTTTGAAGTGTATTTGCAATCATAGCTTCCTGCTATCACCTTGTAACCATTCTTTCGATGTCTCAGGCTCAACGGTATCGTTTCCTTCAACGAAACGAGTAGTCGACGATGTGGAACAATGCCGCTACCAGGCAAATGCAAATAAACGTTCAAATTAGAGTCATTCAGTGAGATTTTCCACACGGGATCACCATAGATTTCGCCTTATTGGGTTGAGGAAATGGTTCCCTGCCCGTAGCTTTCAATAATAATAATAATAATAACCTACGACCCCGATGAATTCGGACAAAACGCTTCGTCATGAAGTGTGGATACCTCAATAACTTCCTTCTCAGATTACCACCTCAAATCCCGGTCCCATTCGCTGATGCTAACCAGAGTCCTCTCTTCACAAATCTTCCCAGGAAGCTCATTCTTATTTTATCCATAACTGCCAGTAAGGTAAATCCTTTAGCCGACAAGGGTTCAGCGATGGAAAGCCTTTTGTGCCAATTATCAGCATGCAGATGTGCTTTGTGCAGCAAATCGTACACAAGCCTCATAATGTGCTGCACCTCTTATCATGAAGGGATCGCTTGCCTTATATACCAAGATTCTTCAAATATAGCTGCCTCTTGAGCATCATTTTAACATCTTTGTGTTTGTTATGTGATTTGTTCTGACCGAGGGTGACACCATATCTAAAGGTCCCGAAGGATTTTTTAATGCAGGGATTGTCTATTCTGCTGCATTTCTTTTTGGTAATGCTTTTGTAAATCGATTTTTCTTAACTTCCGCACGAGTAATCAATGAGTTTTAGGTTGTTCAGCACACACAAGGTTGTGAGCTAGACATTTGAAGAAGACATTGATTATACTGTCAGCAAATTTTACTAGTGATCTAGTCACATAAAACCTACATCGCTAGTAATCCATTGCGTTATTGGCAAGATAAAGGTTATTCAACGGGCTTATTAATCTCTGTTCAAAATATAGAATACAAAGGTTTAGTAGGTGAGAGCGTGGTTGTAAATCCAATAATCTGTCAACGAGTAAATTTCATTTTGAGTGTGAGACTAGTGAATATTCACATCTCGTCAACACTTGCCGCATTCCACAGAACACCGTTCTCTAACATGTGCCCGCTATTCTTTTCTACAATCAGCCTTAAATGTTGGCAATAAATAATATGAATCTATCAGTCTGAACATCGAGGCAGGGGTCGTGGCGCCATGCTAGATTCATTGTCGTTAAAGATCTATGGGTTATGAGGCAATACCTTGTTAGATCACCCATCACCCACTTCCTTAGCAACATCCTCGCTCTGTGCCGTCAGGTCATACTTTTTAGATCATTGAAGGAGTAGTTTATCGCCGACATTAAAGAGCTGACCAGTTTTCGATCCTATTTAACATGATAGCATGTGTAATACCCTTGCAGTGGTAGAATAAAATCTGTCCTGTGACGAGTCATGTTTTCCTATCCTCAACGTTCTCGAGTTGTCGGCGAACTACTGTCTACTATCAAAAACTCACCACCGTTCATCAAACGCAGATAAGAGGCGGTGGACGAGTTCTAGGTTCACAAGCTCCACAAAATTAAGCGCTGTTCCATACAGTAATCACGAAAAATTTAAAAAGCGTTTAAAATTTTTCAGACTATTAAGTTTATATCATATGCTGTTTCTGGTAAAATTTCGCTTCCAGGAATAGCTGCAAGAATACGAAGATGTAGTCTCATCAGTTAAAATAGGATTCCCTAAAATTTAATGTCTTGGAGTGGGCATTATTTTCAAAAGAAAAGCACGGTGAAGAATGTATGTTGCAAATTTTTTAAGAGTTTAGAACACAGCGATATGTTCTGCTGTTGAGAAAGTTGTTGAAGTTTTCACTGTGTAGGGTTCTTCGAAGTCCTTCATCTCTTCAACTTCATTGATCTAGTATTAGCCTTTCCTATGTGAGTTAAAGCCATGGTTTTACTGCCCACCATTTTGTTTCTTCTTCTTCATTATATGACTCGATACCACTAGTTGTGCGGTTCTCTGCACTTGTTCCACTCGATTTGCTTCCTCTGGTCGATATTCCACTAAGCTCTTCGGTACTACATTTGGTCGGGCTGTTGCTTGACGATTTTGGCGGTTTTCTATGAATGTCATTGAATTATGGCGGAGTCGATTATTCCTTGAATCCTTGAACGGCCCTGCCAGGGTTTCCTCAGGTTTTCAGCCACAGCAATCACCAAATTTTATCGGTTTGAGAAACTCTTCGTACAAGCCTGGTAGCCATTTACTGGATCCCATAGGAATGTGAAACTTGATTGATGCAGTGCTCGCTCAGATTAGGACCTTGCGCTTATCGTATAACATTACTACAGATGTGTTAACCAAGCCGTCCAAGCCTGTGTAGAGAAGCAAAATTCGAATTCCATTCTTAGAGATGAGTTAACAAAAAGCTAGCGACGCGAACATGAACTGTCGTTTCTGCTCACTAGTTCTCAAACACTCGTGTACTCTGCGTTCGTAGCCGTTGGTTGCTTGTGTTTCAGTGTACTCTACATGTCGTTAGCTGTATCTTCGCTGTTCGTGCCAACTTACATGATCGACCGATTCGGTTGTAAACTCACACTAATCACTGCCATGGGCATATATGTGTTCTATATGGCAGTGAACATTCGACCAAGGTGAGCGAACAGTTCGCAAAGCTTGATATAGAAAAAGCAATTACTTTGCATTATGGTGTTACTCTATCACCATAATCATCAATCATCTAATATCATCATCTGGTGATGGTGTCTCTTGCTATCGTTCAATAAAGGCAACACAGCTCATTTTTTGAAATCACACAAGTGATTTTGCGTTGTATTATACATCATATAGCGGCGTGTTTTGCTCAGTAGTTAGACGTCCCCTGCAAATACACATGAGTTCGATCTCTCTCACCAAGCATGGCAAGTTTTCCATCTCTCCAGGGTCGGCAAATTGGTACCAGACTTGTCTGGAATGAGATCAGCACTAACCCGATAGATGGGTAGGCCACTGCAAGTATGTTGAATGCATGGCACATTCCTTAGGGATTGATCGAAGCCGAGTTCTATCTTTTTTACCCTCTTATCATGTATCATACTTGTAATTTTTAATAACATTCGTCAAAAGAATGATAAAACAAATAAAAGGATAAAATAATCTACCATTTTCTTCAGCTATTCCTCGTTAATTCCCGCTTCTGTTCTGGCCGGCGTAGCAGGTTAGACTCAGAGTACTGCCATTCTGTCGTTTATCCAATGAAGCTGCTCTATTAGCTTTGCTTTCCAGGATCCTGCTTGTGGGGAGCGAAATGTGTCTATATTACACAAATGGGCATTCGATACGCCCACCTCAATATTGAGAGTCCTAACACGGTGATCGTACGGTAGGTACTATGCGTGATATGATGAAGCCTCACGTTACCTTTTGTAATCCATAGAGATGTGTAAACTGTTATATTGATGTACATCGGCACAATATATCCAATAACACTCGAAATTAAGCCACTTTTTGAGATATCGTTGCATTGTTCTTCGCTAGGCATGCACAGAAAAAATGGAATATTCGCAAACCATCCACAAAACCCCTCTGGATCACGGCTGTCGACATACCTTCGGGAATACATTTAGGAGGCATAGATTATATATGATGATTAAGGCTACGGAAAACCGTGGTGCACTTTCTGAAGTTTTTACCAATTTAGGCTCAATATGCAAATAATTGCTCTCTTATGCGGTTCCACTTCGGCCCGCATAGTCGATGGTTCAGTTTCACCCGTCGGGGCAACGGAAAACACATGGTCTCACTTCAACCCACTGCGAGCCTTTCTGCGACTATACATTCAGCTAAACTCGTCGTCGCTTGATTTCTAAACTATCCAGCTTGTGATATTGGACTCACAATAATGAGAGAGTAATTCTAAGTGGTACCACACTGACATAAACAAATTTGCTAAGAGCATCTACAGATACAGGTTCATCCCGGCCTTGCCTTCATATAGACTCTAAAATAAATGTTTGACGCTAGCAGTAAATTTGTTCTTATGCCATCTCCATATGGCCAGAGTTAATAATTCAAAAAAAAGCGATTTAACACACTTTGCAACATGTTTTGTTCAAAGCGTCACTCTAACATATATACATATGTATATATATGTATATAGGTATATATGACCTACCAACGACTTGCCACCTCATCGTGGCTGGAAGATGTTCCTAGGTGCCGGGTTGCGATGAAAGGCAGGAGATTCACCTCGGCTTCAACTTCCTACAGACCCCTGCCAGTCTCCCAAGCTGAGAAGAAGTCTGGCGTTTCCATCAGAGTGCACAGCTAAGAGTAAACCAGTACCAGGATCCGTTACTGTCCTGCTACCAAACTAGTAGCATGGTGGCAATTCTCTTTCAGACCCACATGAGCGGCGGATGCCTGTGGTGGTGGCGACTTGAGGCAACTAACCACGGGACTCTAAGGAAGCACAATGGCTAAAGCAAAGCTCCGAAAAAGTGGAGATTATGTGGTGGTCTCAGAAAGTGAGGACGGGCTGTCTAAGTATTCAAATACGTATATATATGTCTATATATATATACATATAAATATATATATATATGGCACATCTAGAACCCACTATTATATATATATATATATATATATATATATAAATGTGTCGTTTTCTTGTTCAGCAATCGCGAGGTTTTTAAACAGCATACATTTACTTCCATAGAAAAACACAATACAATACAACGCTAGCTGACGTTTCGGCAGTATCGCCTTCTTCAGAGCCTGGAAGGGTATACTGATATACAATCTACTAGGCCAAACGCTTCAATAACACTTACAAAAAGACGAAAGACTCTCTGGTAATTACATGATCAACAACCTCGAAAAAACCCACCGCTTTTTCGTGACTTCCAATGAGGAAGTTTAGAACAGCTGATTATAGTCGCATGTGGTTGACGACTGCACCAACCCACATCAGAAATTGATGCGAACATACGGGGTCAGGTCGCGTATGACCTCTGGGCATTCATCCCTGCTATTCATTGTAGGGTTTTTGGCATTTATCCAAAAAGCCTCAAAGAGTTTTCGCACTGGTGTTTTAGTCTCCTGTGCAAGGATATTGACTTTTGCTTCAAAATCGTCTCCGCTATGCTTTTGTATGCTATGCGTGCCTAGTGGGGTGCTTCGTCTTAGTTTTCGTTTGCCATCTAGGTGTT